TACCATTGATAGATTTTCTCAACTAACGATCCAAAATAGATCACTAATATTTCCGATCACTTTTTGTTTTCTGCTTCCATTTCCCATAAAACGTGATCTAATTTCTCTCAGTGTGCTCATTTTCGCGAGTGTGGGAGGAGAGATAGAGAGCCCGAGGCTGCCCCGCTCTCGCTCAGCTGGCAATTACCGTTCGTTTAGCATTTCTCTGCCTGCTTATCAATTAATCAGCTTCTAAGCCGCGACGTCGACTGCGCAGCGCGGCAATTGCAGTTTTCACCTTCGCAGTTTTATTGCTAAATCTGCTCATTTTCGGTTGACAAAAATCGGGAAAAACGAAAATGGAAAGCCAAGAGCCGAAAACCCACGAAACACTATAAAAAAAAAGTAAAGAGCACATAAAACCTCCGTATAACGTTGCCATAATTCCGAGTTCAATTGTGTGAGTGCAGTGCGGTGTGTTCGCGTGTGGGTGTGCTTTTGCCTTTGCCGATTGCGGCTGTGTGCGTGTGCACATTGCCGATGCTCGTACCGCTTTTCATTCTGTGCCTGACCGCCGCTGGGTTCTGGTTCTCCGTTCTTGGCCCGCCGCTCGGAGGTTCCGTTATAAAAGACGCGTGCCGCTCCAAAAGCCGATGGAGTTCGATTCGAGACCGCAAAGGTTCAGTGTCCTGCCTGGCAGCCTCTAAGAAAAAAAAAAAGTTCAAAAACAAAACAAAGTGTCCCCGCCAAGTGATATAACAAGTGCTTTTTAAAAAATATATATTTTTTGACGAAAGTAAACCGTAACCAAAAAACAGAAATGCATTTCAGCACCCTCTTCTTAATAGGTAATTAATTTATTATTGTCAAATATTACATATCAGCCTCGTGACTCACCGAAAGCCAATCAAAGTTATTTAACTACTCGTGCGTGAATCACCTTACTCCAAAAAACTGACTCAAATCGGAGGCGCTATTAATTGGATTCTTGTACTTATCGCCCCTATACCGTATAGTACTTATCCACATATCCGTATACGTATTCCGATAGCACCGAAAAGGCACGTCTTGATAGCTGATCCCACATTTATCCACATTCTATTCTATTTTTGCCATTTACCTGGCATTTATTCGGATCGTTTTGTGCGGATAAGATGATATAGACAATGCACTAGTGATAACACTTTGGGATCGTAAATTACAGGGCGGCCTTTTGCGCTTATGATTTACAATGGACAGGTTCTCAGGCCAGGGGAAGTGGTGATTGCCATCGGAAGTGGACGGATAGATGGGCTGGAGTATTTTCCGATACATTTAGATCGGGGGGCTGGAATTTGAATTCGAGACACGAGCGGTCAGCCTGTCAATTGGCTTCATCCTGTCGAAGATTCTCATATAGATAATCAAACAAAAAATCTGGGGATAGTTAAGAACCCCAAACAATGATTCACCCTTACAAAGAAGCCATAAAGTTGGAGTTATGTTCTCTATGTAACACCGTAAAACTGGGGGATTTTCGCCATATCTCATTAAGAAACCCCGACACACAATTCGGGGCCTATCTCAAATCTAAGCCAACGCCGTCACATCAGTACTCCAAAGCACTTCACAGAACTTTGGACATGGATCACGCGCCCGAACTGATATATCTGAACAAAAAAGACAACCTATTGCCGTCTTGTTTGACTTTGTGCGGGCATGGGCATTCGGAAAATACCCACTTAATTCGCCTAATACTGCCACAGATACAGTTACAGACGACTCATCATTGCGGGCAGACTGAGTGATAAGGTCAGCAGAAGCTAAGTATTTGGTCACGCTGGGGAGCTGGCGACTTATGGGTGGGAAAACTGCTGACCTAATCGAGATAATCGAAAGTATACCCACTTTATGTGACCAAGATGGGGCTCAAGAAATCAGCGATAACCGATTAGATGCCTGCTGATAAGGGGAAATTCCAAGTGGTGGGATTGGGGGGAAATGCATATTAAACGATTAATTGGCAATTAACTCGAACGGGTTTATGGAACCCTTCGAGATTCGATTAAGCCTAATCACAAGGCGCCATTTCTTATCGCCTTTGCTTACTTGTCAGGTAGTCACTCCCCGATTAGCTGCGATTTCTGGCTGAGATATATTGTGTACATAGAGCCAGGTGATTAAAAGTATATAAAAGTTAAGCCAAATCCGTTAACATATGTGTGTAAAAATCTACCTAATTTCTTTTGTGTTTAAATTCTTGGCAACACTATCAGCAAAGTGATACAATTATTTGTGTCCAAGATAAGACGAATGCCAATATAGAGATTTTTTTTTCTTTTTTTAAATGCTGTGCTTGTAGAAATCAGTTATCAACATCCGATTATTCTGTCGTTAATAAACCATTTTAGATTTAATGTTATTTTTTATAAATTGCTAGACTCTGTTTCTAGGGATGAGAATATCTCTTAAAAAATTATTCATTGCTAGAATTTTAAAAAGCTTTAAAAAAATTTAATTGTGCGTCAAATTGTATTTTAACATATTATTTATTTAGTAAAAATTTCCGGGCTCGACCATGCATCATTTTATTTTTGGTTATTCATTAAGACTTGGAAGTCTATGACACCATACATATTTTTCTACATTTTTTTTTTTATTTGCAACAACAACAATATTATATAATTGTGGAATACAAATAAAAAATAAAGTATATAGTAGGTACTACGTAATGTGTACACTGTTTTAAATATTTACTTTTACTTTACAACAGATTTAACTAATTTCTGGTAGAACAGAGTTCCAATTGATTGGTTATTTTCAGATAGCTGCGGAACAAGCAATTGTTGGATAGTACACACCCTCTTTACAAAGCCTGCATTCATCACCAAACCTTCGGATGCACTAGAGCGATTATTTGTATTTGCTTTGGGCTCCCTTTGTTGTCGGGCGAAAGTGAAATTGCATTCCGCAGTTCACTTACATGATAGCCAATACCGACTTCCTATTTATATACAGAGTCATCTGCCGTTGAGTTGACTTCTGGGCACACAAAAGGCCCTCTGCTATCTGCCCTCCTTACCACTATCTGCTCGGCTTGTTTTCCACGCGTTTATCAACATCCATTCCTCGGTCTTCCTCTTGCAATGCGAATCCAAAGTCCATTTAGTCGATTGGCTTACGATGGAAAGTTTTAAGCCAACTCCCCCCACAAATCGATTAGCAATGCAGCCACGAACCCCTAAAGTAATTCTCATCAAAGGTTTATGGCAATCATACCAGACAAACGTCACAATGTCTGGGCAATTAAGAAAAAACCAAAGTCTGAGTGTTTGGCTGATTATGCCAGCTGAAAGAATTATGTTCCCGTTCGGCAGATTAGATTAATTCTTTAGGGAGGTCGTCTTCCACACGCTTTTCTCATAAAGAATTCAGACTTATGACGACACTCTGTAATATTATAGGTTATCTATTTCTCATTCGTACTCTCTTAAAACGGAAGTTTGTTCAATCATAAAATAATTAATTATCTTCTTGTTTATTTTATTGCCCTTCAATAGATACATTTCGTCTTTATCTTGAATTTTGATTTATTGCACATTTATTTAGACAACCGATAACGTCAATCAATCTTAATGGTTGCATTCACATGACCTGCGGTGTATTTATTGGACATCGCAGCTTATCACAGGCTTTACGAGCTACCCAATCTTAAGACAATAGGACATTAAATCGCGTGCACTCCCGAAATCGGTTATCGGTGGGAGATATCTTTGATTATGACGCCCAGTAAAATGTAAATAAAATTTGGCCTGGAAAATCACCGAGTGCTCTATTAATTTCGGGGGGATCTCGATACCGCAGTGATTTGACAAAAACCCCAAGGTACCAAACGACAGACGGGTCTTTATCGCCTAGTGCTGAGCTAGCGAAATTGTTTCGATTCTTTTCTGTTGACAAGGCTAAAATGATTTAATAAACAGCAGTTGCGACAAGCTGTCGTTCCAATGCCAGAACATCGCAGCGAAGAATTTCCATTTCGATTCTCAAGAGCAGGAGAATATAAAAAACATATGTATTTTCACGGGTTGAGTGCATTTTCCACTCGCAATTGCAGCTGTTTATTTTGCGCGATTTTTCACATGATTATCCCCCCATTTACTCCGCTCGTTTTGCAATTACAGTTTTGTTAACTTTTACACCCCGGGGCCTCAAATTAGAGAACATTTCCCATTATCAGATATCAAAGCTTTGAACACTCAAATTTAATTGTGCGTCGTTTGCATGTGCAAATTTAATTGCATTTTAAATGGCTGCCCGACATTTGTGGCATGTTCGGTGAAAAAGTATTTAGTTGCAGGGTTTCGAGATCAAGTGATTCCTTGCGATTTGGCATCTGACGGAAATTTCATTACCCAATCGCCAATACGTATATGTACCTCAAAACACTCACGTTCCAGCCATTAAGTCTTGTGATCGCTTCTTAATTAAAAGAAATATCTTTATGGCTTTTGATACGCCACTAGTTCAATACAAATCAATACAATTTAGCTACAAATTCAAATAGAATCCCCTACTTGCCTAGAAAATATTAAAAAATCATTACAAAAAATGAAATATTATTTTTAATCAAGCAGTGCCATAACTCAGAGATCTTTCCCCCGAATAATTGCGTCACAGGGCGACCGAAGACTATACTAAGAAAACCTCAGCTGATGAGCTCGCCGCCCGGCAAAAAGTATATTAAAGCGATTATATACAACCTATAGTATTCATACTTGGGTATATTTAGTACTCTATTTTCGCAGCTGCGGTCGTCATTTGTCTTTTTGCAGAAAAAAATGCCAACTTGCAAAAATGCCAAGCGGCAAGCATAAATACTCAAAAAAAGATTAAAGACAGAGCATAAATTATCACACTTGTTGCCGGCCGTTTTATTAACCCATTAATGTTGAATATGGCTTAATAAACACGCTCATTTGATCACAGATCACCCGGATGGCGAGTTATGTTGATGGGTCGGTGGTTTTTAAATACCCATAATGGATCGTAAAATCTAAAAAAGCGCACGCATTAAATTTAGTTGATATTTTGATGTGCAGATGTCAAAATGCTTTTAGCACAGCCAAACTGAACTGGAGGAGAAAGTCAAGAAAATATGCGACCAATTTGCAGGTTAATGAAACATTTATGTATTTTCAGTCTGCAGAATCGCTGGCAATTATACAGAGGAATATATGTGATTGAAATCATAAATTTCAGGGCTATTTTTAGCCGAGTCAAGTGCAAGGTGCCGGTTTTTCACTTGAGGCGGCTGCCAAACATGTGTGTAGATTGACCCTCTGCCAGTCCCATTGCTTTTATGGCCCATCAAGAGGTGCAGTTCTTAATGAGCTTGTTTTGCTTTTATTCTGCTGGCACGGTCAAGTTGAAGTTTATTTAAATCGTTCCCATTTCGCGGTCCCACACGGCGGCTACTTGATACTCACCTGTCACCCGTTCCTTCCTCTCTTTGCAGTCTGCTGCTCTGTGGCCCTCAGCTGGGCCAACGAATGGGGCTACCCGGACTTGGACAACAATCAGGATGAGCGTAAGTAAAGCCAATCGAGTTTATTTGCTAAAATTAGTTAATCAACGCCACGGCGATGCGATGTTTGTAGCTCTGTATTGTCAAGTGTTTTGCATACCAGAGCGATCCAAATGTGCTCGGATATATCTATCTGTGTGCACGCTTTCGGCTCGAGCTTGGCTCAATTGGGCCAAATTGTTGTGTATGCAAATTGAACATGAATAATGATAAATTCGGACCGCTACTTGGGCACATTTCTGCGGAAACTGAACTTCTGACTAGAGTTTTTAATTGAGAAAAGAGCCTTCAATTACTTCAATTTTGATTTATGACCATTTAATTTCAAATAAAAATTTTGCTTGTGCAGAAATTCGCAATAATGAAAATCAATTATAAATATTGGAGTTTAAATTGGCCTAACCAGTGTTAAATTGTATAAAGTTGGATTGATGGGCATTTAATTTAAAATAGAAATTCAGCTTGTGCCAAATATTAGAGATTTTAATTGAAAAAAAAATGTTCTATGCATCAGAATTTAAATTCAAATTAAATAAAAATACTATTTTGACTTTGATGGATGATCTTTATATTCCACAGCCTTTCCAAAATGGGGCGGTCTTTGCGATAGTGGCAAGAAGCAAAGCCCCATCAATCTGCATGTCAAGGGGTCTCTGAAGGGCGAGTTTGATCCTCTGAAGTTCGAGAACTACGATGAGCATCAGAAAAATCTGCTAATGGTCAACAATGGACATTCAAGTGAGTTGTAATAAATTCCAGAAATACCAAAATAATTATTATTATCTTTTGCCGTACAGTTCAACTTTCTGGCTTCGATCACGAACTGACCTTGAGTGGTGGCGCCCTGCTAAATGACTTCGTGGTGGAGCAGATCCACATGCATTGGTGGTCGGAGCACACGATCAACGACATCCGGTATCCGCTGGAAGTGCACATCGTGCACCGGAATACCATCTACCCCAACATGACCATGGCCGCGAACTTCAAAGATGGCATTGTGGTCATCGGAGTGCTGTACCATGTGTCCAATACGCCCAACGAGGCCATCGGCAGCATTATCAAGAGTCTGGGTGCCGTGAAGAGCTACGATAGCATGAACAAGCCTGCCCTGGTGGCAGACTCCCTGGCCGTCGATGATCTGGTGCCCAGTGTGGAGAGCTACTTCACGTATGCTGGCTCCCTGACGACGCCCACCTGCGCCGAGGCCGTCACCTGGATTGTGCTCACCCAGACCTTCCCGGTGACCCTGGACCAGGTCAACGAGTTCAAGGAGATCGAGTACGAGGAGGGCAAGCAGTTGCACAACAACTTCAGGGAGCTGCAGAGCGAGAACAACCGAGCAGTCGTCCTGGTCGAGCAGCCCGAGGATCGATCGGGAGCAGCTGGACTCACGGCCTCCGTATCCCTGACCCTAATGACCCTAATGCTGGCGGGCCAGAAGTACCTGCTGTAGATTTAAGATGGACATCGCAGAGAGAGCAGCCAATGACATACTCGTACCAAAGAATCAATCGTTACAATACAACGAATTTGTTTATATAACTATAACTATATCATAACAATCAAACAAACAACCGGCGACACAGGAGAGCAACGTCAGACCAGACAATTTATACTCATTAATTGTAATGCAGAACAAAACAAGAACAACAATTCAGCTAGTCAGTTTGTCTAAAGTTCATTAAGTGCAAAGATCACAGATAAATAAATGAAACATTTTACAAGCAATCGGATGGATTCCTGTTATTCTGGGCAAACGGGGCGTATGCGCAACTTGAAAGTGACCGCCTATTTCCGTTTAAAGTTCGAACTGACCAATATCGGTGGTTTATGGGGGTGTATTCTAAAAATAGATGGTGAACCATTCTTGTGCATATTTTATCACAAGACCCCAGGTTGGCATAAGCACTTTTAGGGCTCTTGGTCAGTGTGATTCCTTGAATATGGGGACCCCATAAACCCCATAAACCAGGAATAAAGTATTTATCACCGAATAGTATTCAGAAATCACTGATAACTGCCAGCGTCAACTGACCAATTGCGCTGCCTGATAACGCTAATTGATATTGGATGGACTCTAAATAAATCAACTACAATAACAGCGGGCCATGCAATTTGATTTCGCTTATTGCTGGCCACACTTAATCATCGTTGTTCGTTGCGAAATGACACTTTGGGCTAACTGCGATTGAAACTGAAGCGTGTGTCCGGTGGTTTATGATATTGATGGCACAGCTAATTATACACACAAGTTGGACAATATCTTATCTGTGGGAGTGACAAGCACCGAGTAGAGTCCTAGAATAATCTAGAGTCCAATAAGCCGATTGTTAACTTAAAATACAATTAAAGCTTACCGTTAAGCTAAGTTCGGACACTCAAAATACCTGAGTAAAGGGTTAACTGATATGATATTTCATTGAATGGTCTATTCGAAATTGCCCAAACTTATCTTAAAAAGTAATCCATTAAAACATGAATACATTAAATTAAGGGTTAGGTAAATAAAAAACCATGGTTGGAAGATTTTTCGTTAAATTTGTTAATTTATTTCTTGAAGAAAATTTTGAAAATGTTTTATAAAATGTTTAAGACCGAAAAAGTTGCCTACTTATAAGCTGACATAATTTTGACATAATTGGTATAGTTTTGGGGATATGTAGAAAAGTTGTGTAAAAAAATTGGTGTAAAGATTTCAGTAACAAATTTCGTTTTTTTTAGGATAAAAAATTAGTAAGATATGTATAAAAATTATTTAAAAATTCATTTCTTCAAGGCATATTCCTGAGGTATTTTTTTTTTATTAACACTTTATATTTATGTATATAGTTAACAGTGTTTCTACAATTTTAAAGCTTTTGTCACTTGAGGATCTTTTATTACAACTATTTTATTGATCCAGTATTGTCTTCGCCTTCTTTCTCTAGTTTAATACCTGATGGTAATGGAATATTTTTGGATAAAAGTGCATACTCCACATCCATATGCCTGATAAATGGAGCGGCCAGCATTTTGGCAGCTAATTCTGCGTCCTCATCATCCAAGGCTTGCAGAAGTGTTTGCAGTGTTTTAACCTCTTGGGGATCACAACGGTTTCCCCATTTTTTGAATGACTTTTTGGCATCTACGAAGTCCTCGAGGGCTAATTGCACCAGTACCAAAGCAACGACCAAACGTCCAACTTGTCCGTACGATTTCGTTTGTAAATTAAGGCTTATCTCCTTTTTGAGAGCTTTGCTGGCTTCTTCGAATTTCTTTAGTTTGACCAAAATCCTGGAGACTTTCGACGCGAATTCCGATGCCTGGTGGGTGGAGTCCCCAATCAAGACAACTGCCAGTGCCCGTTTGTAGAACTCCAGTGCCAATTCAGGATGTTTGGATTCCGTCATCTTGGCTGCCTTATCCAAGGCGGCAGCTGCTGCTTCCTGAGATCCGTGCTGCTGATAGAGATTGCAAGCCCTATTGGCATATTCCTCAATTTCGGATAGTGTATCTGTTTCTTTGGCCAGCAGGATAATCTGCTCGCAGGACTTGGCCGCATGAAACCACGACTTGTTGTTCATGTAACAGTCGATGGCCTTCAAAAAACAATCCTTGCTCTTATCCAAGCATTTGGCGTTTCGATATGCAGTTGCAGCCTTGAAATACGTACCAGCCCTGGCATACTCATCCGCGGCACTGTCGACCTGTCCCAGTAAAGCCTCAGCCTCGGCAATCCTCTTGGCATCAGGAGCACTCATTTCCGTTAACTTTTAGCTTTGCGTGCGGAAAAAATCAATTGAAACTTAGTGTGCCCGAATGCGCAAGTGCAGGGAAAACTTAACTAGCCGCTCCTTGATTATGCGGGTATGACACTGCATTAATATGGAAAAATGGTACTATTAAATATCGTATGGTTGATGTTTTTAATTTTATGTATTTATGCGTCAGGCTAGTTAATAGGAAATCAATAAACTTAAAGATTTTGCAATGGAAATTAATTATTTCCAAGATAGCAAAAGTGTTGAAATAAAATATATCGATTTTGTTTTAAAACTTATATCGAAATTAAGTCACTTTTCAAATTTTCCGATTTGTTCGGTATCCCTGGGCTGAAAAAGAAATGTGCAACGTGCTTTGTCATTCTACAAACGTGATTCAAGGAAATAAGTTCTTAATAAGAGCAGCTAAATATTTCATATAATTAAAAAAATCCATCCTGTTGCATCTAGGCGTAACCGTACTATTTCAGATCCTTGTTATTCACTCCGTAAGCAGGTAAATTCCCTTAACGCAGAAAACTGCAAGTCTTGAGCACAATTATTTTACTTATTTCTTAAAACATTCTATACAGACGGTAAATTGCAAGATGAAAGTCTGGAGAGATGCAGGACTTACCTATATCCAGTATTCCAACATTGCGGCCCGCGTGGTGCGTGAGGCCCTCCGTTCGGAGCTTCGTGCCGAGGCCGCCAAGCGAAACATAAGCCATGTCCAGTTTACTCCCTGGAAGAACGGAAAGCCAGTGCCGCGAAAGAAGGAGGAACCCCAATCATAAATGCTTATGTGGCCACATGGCAAATTTCATTCCATATCTTCGAAATCTTCCACAAAACCGAAACAAAAATTTAAATCACTCTAAAACCACTCCATCTTACATCATCTATCTGTCAATCTATAGAAATCTCTTACCATTCAAGATTTCTAAGATTATGCAGGACCAGAAAATCCACGCATTTCTTTCATTCTAAAGTACAACACAGTTCTGTATAAATATCATTTAAATAATAATATACACAACATTGAGCATACATTCTACACACGCGTATTAAATACATAGATTGTGACTGCTTAATTTAGACTAAGACACTAAATAGGAGAATCTAAGAAAACAGTCAGTTCTGAAGCACCAGCCAAGGCAGCAGGATGATGCATAAGGACCAGGATACGGTGGCCTTTGCTCCACTCCTCAGATTGGTGTAGCTGTCCACGATGTGAATCTTCCAGCCCATATTACCGTGGGTAAAGGAGTTGTAGTACACGGTATCCGGCCAAGTGATATTCGGTGTGATTTCCAACAGAGCCGGTGCCTCATCCACACACTCGGTGATCAGCGATCGGTTGAACTTCTTGAAAGTGGGGAAGTTATCATCCAGACGACGATCGTAGCTAGGAGGATATCTGGACAAGCACAGCGGACCAGCAGCCGTGGGCTTGGGCCTGCCCCTTCTGGTGAACTCCACGCCAGCCAAAACACGAATCTCACTTTGTTTGGCATCCGACAAACGATCGTAGCCGCCCTGAGGATCATCGGTGATGACCAACGGATGGTAGTGCTCGGGGGAGTGGGGGTTATTACCACCCCTGACCTTGAAAGTGTAGGTCAGACCACGTTTTAGGTAGAGCTCTGGGATCATATAGCCATTGATGTACCAGGCCAGGCCACTGGAAACATGACCAGTCAGTCCCTGATAGCCACGAAGGCCTCCAGAGGGTCCCAAATAGGCATTGAAGGTGCGCACAGTTCTAAAAAGTAAAACATGAGTTATATTTATATTTCTTCTGTTATAGGGACATGATCCTTACGCATCTGTGATTCTGGTTCGCTCCCACAACTGCGGTGGCGGAGTCTCCATTTTCTTGGTGAATGCAAAGCAATCGTTGACCGGTTCCGTGGTGTTAAAATCTATTACGATATCGCTCTTGGGATAGTAAGTGTGAAAGGCGGGCTCGTTGTTGGAATCCAACTGGCCAAAGGCCCAAACCACGTAGTTGCTGCGATCTAGAAATATCTCTTTATCACCACTATCAGCTGAAATGAGGAAAACCATTAGGAAAATTAATATTAAAATATAACATATTACATACATGAAATAAGGGTCCGCCTGAAACTAATCGTATTGATGCCATCCTTGCGGCTATATGTATTCAACTGGAAGCTATCCAATCCACCGACCACATCGTCCCGGCAAACTCCTTTGTTTTGACCCAAGACCTGAACGCAAGGCGCCAGCGAAGTGATGTTGTAGTCCACGGTGTAGCCTCTGATTTCGTCTATGTAGGCCACCACCACATCAGAGCCAATCATCTGACTGGACACATCCGAACCGGATATGCCGAAGGACATGTAATCGTTGGCAGCCACCTGGCCGGATAGTTGAAATGTGATCTGCGGCCCGAAAACCTCCCAGGACACTTGCAAATCCTTGTGCAGCTGCCTGCAATTGGGCAGTGAGAATATATAGGGGGTAACTTTCACCAGGGAGGGTGGAACATTCAATCCATCGTTGATCAGGACATGGCCGTAGTTCTCATTATCGGCCACATCGTAAACACTAATCCAATCGATGTCAAAGATGGTCTTATCACCCGGCAGCTCCAGTTCAATAGTCTCCTTGTTGTATTTCCTAATCGGATCGAGGCTGTAAAATAGATTAATTATTAGATCCTATGATTCTCTCTAATTACTTACTATCCCCGCTCATCGGGCAGCTTGCTTCCTCGACTTGAAGGCTGTGCGCCCACTCCCGTCCAGAAAAAGGTGCGCTTGCCACGCCCGTCGTAGGTAAAGTCCTTGATGCGAATGGTCTTCGAGTCCAGGATCTCGATGCTGCTGCTGCTCACATTGTGGCTGCGCTTGGAGAAGGTTCCGCCCAACTGGGCCATCGGTGGTTCGAATTCCTCGGGAATATAGACATCCCCAAAGTTGTTCTGACTGCTCAGGTCGTAGACCGCCAGCCATTTGATTTCCGTTATCTTTTTTCGATCCGGCAGAGACAGTGTGAAGTCCTTGTTGTGATAGCGATCCAGGATGTTAGTTCTACGATATAAATAAATTATAATTTGTTATATTTTCAACTGCGTTTCAATCTTTTGTTAATTATTTTACTAATTCTTTTTGCCACTGAGTAAAATTATACAAAGAATTTTGTTTGAATTTTTAAATGTATTTTATTATATTAATCTGATCAAATGTAAACATATTTTTTTTAATAATTGATAACCAATTTACTTACTTGCCAAATTCATCGGGCACAATAAATCCCTGAGGACCAGGACGATTGCTGGCGCCCGACCAAAAGAACGTATCCGCCCCGTTGCCGTCATAGTTGAAGCCCACAATCAAGAAGGTGTACTCATTTACGGCGTACACATCGCCGGACACCTGATGATGGTACGAGTTGAGTTTTCCCAGGTATTTTCCGCGATACGGCCCTTCCTCCTCCTCTTCGCCCTGGGCCACTAATTAGATAATAATTTGTTAAGAACTCTATTAACCGGTAATATTAAAAAAAAAAACAAAAGAAAACAAATGGCAAAACGAAAGACTGTGACAACAAACTCGTTTTGAATTTTTCGCTCTGACTAATAGGCCAACAATTTGGGCTTCTGATTTACTGCCACTGGGCCAGGTGGCGCCGCCTGGCGGGCGCTCTGCGAGACAGATCCAAGACTAGACCAGTTTCTCTAGTTTTACACGAAAGTGAATTTGTTTTCGCCCCGTCTCGATCGTAACGCCAATGAAAATTTCTCTTTCTTTCGCAGTTTGCCTTGTTTTGCTTGTTTCTTTTTTAAGATTGCATTTTAATAGGTTTTTCAAACTCACGGGCGGCGGGCAAAAGCAGGAAAAGCGTTACAACAACCAGCAATAATTGCCGCTGCAATCGCAGACAAAGAACATTGCTGCCGCCTCCTTTGTTTTTGTTGCTCAATGTCATTGTATCTCTTTCTCTTTTGGCCCGGTCTTGTTTCCTCCACTCCCACTTCCTAAGCCACGTTTGATTTTTTTCAATACTTGAATCGATATTATCTTGCCCGCTTATTCACGCAGCAGCATTTTGCATTTTGGGGTTTTCACTGGTCTTGTGCGTCACTGAACCTCCTGCGGTTTCCAAATATATATGTAAAATATTTTTAATTGAGAGCCAAGTGAATTATTTTTAATTTTTTCTTGCTTTTGCTTAAGGTCGTTTCGTCACTTGCATGCGTTTTCGCTGTTATTGTTGTTGTATTCACTTGGCCAAAACAGGTTTAGGCAGCAGTTCCGGCGTTTTTTTTTTATATATTTTACTTTTTCCGTGGCTCTCGCTTGAAGCCGAAATCAAAAACGAACCGCACTGTCCAACCGATCGGAGTAAACTGAGACTTTAAGCCGCCGTTATTTCGGCGTAGGTTTCTTTCGGAGTTCCAACGTCTTGGCCATGTTAAGTGAGCACTGCTCTCCGCCTCTCTTTATGGCCGTGCGCATGCGTGATTGGCATTGAAATGGCCAAGAGTTCCCATAACGGTACTCCCTGCATTCGAACTATGCGAGGTGTGCTTCAGAGCTTCGAAAAATAACAAAAAAAATAATACTAAATTTGTTTTAAAATTTAAAAAAAAAATATTTCCCCACCTTGTATCCCTACTAAAACACATTTGAATTATTTCTCTCAATTTTCTTGCTTGCAAAACTAAACTTTATCCTTAAGTTTGCTTTTATTAGATCTTTATTTTGAATAGCAATTCAATTAATGTTTTTAAAACTAATCAATTGCAATTTGTTGTCTGTTTGCATTTCCATTTGAACAGCAATTGCAACAGTTTCTCTACTCGACTGCTTTGGATTTTATTTCATTTAATGAATAATGTTTTGAAGTTTTAAGTTCTCTCTTTTGTGGTTGCGATTTTATTTACAAAAAGGCATGTCAAAGATTAATGAATAAATATGTGCGTTGCAAACAAAATTGAATAAGAGGGTAAACTGAGAAGAAACTTGCAACCAAAACAGTTATATCGAAAGTCTGGAAAAGTGGTATTTTCACTCAAGGTCTAAACCAATTTTTAATGAATTCTTATTTTCTAAACAATTAAGGTTCTCTTCTATATCTGCTTTTCTGCTGCACTCTTCGTTATCGTATAACTAGTTTATTGAAAATACAATATTATTAATGTATCATTATTCTCATAAGAAGCACAATTTATGTTGTTTTAGTTTTTATTTCATCATTTTATGCGTTTACATTTCAGTGTTTTGAACTTGCTGCCATACATTTTCAGAGTTTTTCCGTTTAACATTTTCAGCGCATCGTTTATTTATTTACTTTTACTTTCATTTATGGTTTGTGTTTATATATTTTTTTTGTTTTTTTCTTTTTTGTTAACACTAGACACTAGATAACCTATAAAAATGGTTCAGTTTGTTTATATTTCTTTATGGAAAACATGACAATGGGTAAAAGAAACTTTACAAAACAATAGACGGGCTGGAAAAGTCGTTGACCGATGAAAAAGGGGGCGGGGCCGAGGGGCAGGCAGACTATATGTGAGAATTGGTCTTGGACGCACGCACGCATAGTTGAACTAAAAGTAGCAATACTTAGCTTAAATGTAGCGTATAAAAATAGTGTTTTCTTTTTTTTTCTCATTTTAGATAGATATTAAATTATACGAATTGAGAACACTAAATTGTATTTTAAACTTAGGCTGCGTTTTTTTATGTATATGTATGTATAATTTTTACTGCGATGCATTCGTTATCAATGCATTTATTTCATACTTTTTCCGCGTTTGCCTCTTCTTTGACTTCTGCCTTCTGATCTAGGATTGGATTCTTAGTGATTTAAAGTGTTTAAATGAGCATTTTGAATTGTTTTGACTGAGGCAACTTCCGGCTGTTCGATTGCTGACGTGTTGTTGATGAGATTTAAAATGAGACATAGTCGATCGATGAGCACCGCGTTTCATCGTCTCTTTTTGCATGGAATGAACATTGTCAAACGAATAAACAATCGAAAATTCGTGATTAGTCTATATTTATAAAGAAGAGCAAAAAGGGCGCATAGGTTTCTTGACTTTTCATCGTAAACTTAACAAGCGAACAGAAAAAATATTACAGTATGCATTTAATGTTGTTTTTTATGTTGTATATTATTATCTTTTATTACAAATACTTCGGCGCTTGCGCTAATTTTACAAAAATGTTCGGGAAAATCAATAGCTATCATTAATATTACTCTTACTGTGATTTTTTCTTTTGAATTGCGCTACAAGAAATCAAATTTACGCTTCACTATTTATAAATGTTATGTATAAAAATTTGTTTCCTTCTCTTAAGCTTCTGATTTTGTTTCTCGTTATACGCACTTAGCGCAAAAATACATTACAAAGCTTTTGCTATGGCATTATGTATATATGATGTAGGGTTCTTTTGTTGAATTTGGTTTTCGGGGAGGGCGGGAGGAGGTTGGGGGAAAAAGGGGCGTGGATGAGAGGTGGCCTGAGGTAATGGTGTTAGGCGAACAATTTAATTGCAAGTGAAATTTGAAAACGCTTTTGAAACAAACTGAAAGATTTAACATTAGAATGAGGCGTGTTCGTAGTTGTTGGTGTTTCTGTAGTTATAGTTGCTGGTGTGATTGTGGCGTATGGTGTGGTTCTTGTGAAGAGTGTTGGCTAAAATTTATCCTGAAATATGAATAGGTTATTGGTCGCAGCCACGGCGATGATATTTTCTTCGGGATGCCAGGCGGTGTGCAGAATCTTCTTGTTGAAGTCGAGACAGTCCACGCTGATCTCGTCCTTCTTTCGTTTGCCGCCAGTGCAAACTTTCCGTGGCTTCAGCACCGTCTTCGGCTTGATAATGTCCCTGGACGCCTCCAGCGTGACATCCTTTTTCGAGTTCCGATCGAAAACGCGGAAGAAGTTGTTGTAGCTTCCGGTCATTATCGAGCTGTCCTTGCCATTCCAACAGCACTCGAACTTGTCGAAGATGCAGTCGTTCTCGTACAGCGAGCACAGCTTGGCGCGCAGGTATTCATGGACCTATGGAGCAAGAACGTTACGTTAGTGGGGGTTCCAAAGAAGTACTCTAATCTGCAGGTCTAAAAACTAACCGGATAGGTCTCAATGGGCTTGGTTTCCATGTGCAGATCCCACACCTTGATGCTCAAGTAATCCCTGGAGATCATGTAGCGACCCGAGTTGCTAAGCTTCACATCGCTGATGGAGCTAATTATTTCGCTGAAGAAGCTACGATTCGTTGGATTCTCTGGCTCCTCAAACTGTTTGCTGTGCCGGTCGCATAGCGCCGCCGATCGCATATCACATAATCGTATTGTGCCCTTTGAGCTCGAGTACACAAACACATTGCACTCGGTCGGATGGAATTCGGCCGCCGTGATCACCTCCGTTAGCTCCTCCATGTTGGTTGGCTTGATGTCGACGATGTTGTAGCTCTGGTTGACCACCTCCAAATGCCAGAGATTGATGCGCAGGTCGTCGGCCGACAAGAAGGTCTCCTGATCCGAGTTAACACTAATTGAATTGATGTGATAGGTGTGTGCATTGGCGAAGGTGCGCCGCGGCGAGGCCTCCACCAGCAGCGGAATCTGCTTCACGGAGGGCACTCGCAGGGCCGTCACATTCTGTGGATCCCGGATCAGTCCGTTCTCCTCCTTTGTGTTGTAGCCCTCGAACGACTTGTCGCGCTCACTGACCTTCCACAACTTGACCGTCTTGTCGTTGGTCGAGAGCAGAAAGTGCACGGGATTCTTCTGTTGCAGCCACCGAATCTTGTTGATCTTCTCCTCAATCTCCAGCGACTTGAGGTAATCGAACTCGGGCTCGTGCGATTGGAATGTCGAATAGACATTGTATTCGCCGCGTCTCGGATTGGCGGCTTTAGAGGCAGGATCACGCTGCAATTGGGGGAATTTGGTTAGTTCAATGACGGTTGCATAAAGGACTCAGACCTTCAGACTCACCTGAAAGATGACGACGCGACCGCCCTTGTCACCAGTGGCCAGCAGCTCGCCATCGTGATTAAATTCCACGCAGGATATGATGTCCGCATCCGTGACATCATCGTCTAGGGCGCCTTTAATCTGTGAGAAGCACCAGGACGCCTCTCCATTACCTGAAAAGACCGAGCAGGACCAAATGATGAGTATGCGAGTTGACACTTTCGGCCAGCTCGAGTTCGATTCGCTGAATGCCAATTCGATTGGACTGTAAACTGTAAAGGCAGCTCAGGAAAGTAAATGTAACATTTGATTTACTCTCAAAATACATATGTATGGGTTGTATGCCCACAATCAATAGGCAGTGAGAGAAAGGACAACTATGACGACGATATCCTGGGCCTGCCCAAATATTTGCTAATGACGCCATACTCGGCCTTCCACACTGGTCGCCGTCGTCGTAGTCGTCGTCGTCTGGGCCATGATAGGCAACACTTTAAAGCCCTTTAAGCTCTTGGCCAAATATTCTTTCCGTTTCCCTGTTCTCGCTGCTTTTAGCCCACATCCACATCCACACCCCTCCCCCGTTGTTTGTCAATTCTCTCTGCACAGCCACTTTTAGCGATTGCGGTACGTTGTGTAAACGATGACGTTGCTGCTGTCCTCCTTATTCGAAACCCCACTTTATACACTGCTATTCCATAATGGGAGCATTTCATTTGGAAAATGTATTTCCCTTTTCATTGACAGTGGTATACTTCCAAATAAATATGGTTATCAGCAAATTACCATTTAAAACTATGGCTTTTTAGTAAAATCCTATGCTATATTTGAAATATTTTGGAAAAAAATGTATACAATATTTCTAGAAATATAATAAGCTAAATAGGATGCACTGCAGAGCAGCGTTCACAAAAGTTTTCTAAAATAATATGTATTCAATTAATTAATAATATAACTTGTGGCCATGCCGACATTGTAATAAATGTATTTTTAGTTAAATTAAAAATGTTTGTCAATCCCATCGTACACGTTTTCGTTTTGTATCTGCCACTGACTTTTTGTTTTTGGTCCCCATGCTTCTGGGGCTGTTTGCGAATTTTGGCAATTTTTTCATCATTCCCAAATATTCATTGGGCTTTGTTTGTTTGATTTCTTTGGCACAGCCCTTGCCCAGCCCAGTCCCATGTGTTGTGACCTCATTATCCGCTGGCTGTTGGCAGTCTGTTGGCTTTTTCCTGCCTGCTGCCATTGACGACGTCATGATGTGAAGTGATTGACGAGGCGCAGCAATTGTATTTATTCCCACTATTTACTCCCCCTGCACTGTAATAGGATCAAAGGCAGTCGCCCAATTAGTCAGTCATAACTCGGTCGTTTTTGCTGATATTTCTCGGCATTACGATACTATTT